CTGGGAGACATTGAACAACGAAGGGAAACGTCCAACTGGTTATCTTTTTTGTACGTCGTTGCCAGGAGGCTTGGGTTTGGTTTTTTGCCTTTGTGTTTTCCTTTTGAAACAACCGGAAAGAAGGCGCCAACTCCAAAAAGACACCCATGTATATATATATATATATGTTTGACTAGTCTGACCACCATATATGGCTGTGGGTCAAAACCAATGGTACCATTTTGGGGTAGGTGAATCATCAATTTTAGTCTATTTTAGTGGGGATTGGGATGTTCACTGAGGGTACGGGCTTTTGACACATGGCCATATGACGTAGTGGTCATGTAAGCAACTCCATAGCTGGGTTGTTCAAGATCAAGCCTTGACCCTTACGCCAGATGGTAGTTGTTTTCCTTGTAACTTGTAGTTGCCATGGATGACGCAGGAAGTTCCATTGGTGAACAACCCAAGTTGTTGGAGGGTACACCTGTTGGGTGGAAAAAGGGAATCCTCGTGGAAACCCGCCATTTTGGGCATCCCCCATTAGATACAGAGTGGCCATTTGGCACAGGGGCTCGGGTTGGATTCTGGTGAGCACTCCAAGCCCATCTCGAACAGAGTCTTGGAGCCAACAAGGGCAACCCTTTGGATTTACCAAAAGGGGCTTCTTGTTGGATATCCCTTTTGTTGGTTTTTGGTGGTATCAAGGGAAACCACCCCGAGTCTTCCAACTGTCCCTGGAACTGGATGGCTAGGCGCCGGGCTTACACTCTCACGGCTCGTTTCCTCCAATCTGCTGGCGCTGGCGCGCGGGGTGGCGAACGCCGCCGGAGTGTGGTACAACGTGTCGGGCACGAAGCGCTGTTGGGACGTTGAGGCGGCGGGGGGGGGTGGATTACTCAATGGGATATTTGTCATTTGTGGGGGTCGTCTCTTTTGGGTGGTTTTGAAGTGAAACCACAAAGATGCAGACCAGTTGGGGGGGGGTGATTTGGGCTGCGGGTTGGGGGTTGGAGGTTGGGGTTGCCAGTTTGGGAATCGGCATGTTTGTTTGCCTAGGATATCGTATTGCCCAGATGCTCGTGACTGGGGCCCAATGCCAAACCATTTTGACCCTTCAACATTCTAAACTCAAAGGAGCCGTCCACCCACGTCCAGAGTCTTTCACCCCAAAACCCCGACCCCCCACTCCCACAAGCCCGAAACTGCAAGCCGAAGGGAGAAGGGACCTGCTCCCAAATCCACAAACATGGAATCCAACAACACACCCCAAAGCCAACCAACAAAAATCACTTTGTATCCCCTTGACCATCAGCCCGCAGGAAACTGTCTTTAAGCTGGCAACGAATGGGGATGGCTTGAGAATGGCAATATTTGGACCGTAAATCCGGAATTGCAAATCGGGTGCAAGAAGGATGAGTTACGGGAAGAGCACAATGCCGGGTTGTCAAACCGTTGGCCACGGCTTGTGTGACTCGGGCAGAAGTCCAAATCGGAGTGGCCAGGAAACCAGCATGGCCACCGAAGAGGTGGAGTCGGCGGAGGCGGGAATGGCGCCTGTGTCCCACCTCTTCGCAGCTTTGGGGCGGATTTCGGACGAGGGGATTTGATTGCGGCAGCATGTGCGAACTGACTGGGGAGTTTTATGGAAGACTAGAAGCTGAGTGCTTGCACGCACCAAGTTGTCGAATGTTCCTTGAAGCGCTCCGATGTAACCAGCTTGATCGAGGCCAAACTTGACACGGCCTTAGGCCAGCCCTGGACTGGAGAGCTCAGCCGACTGCGCAGCTTGTCCACCTTGCCCAGATTGCCCGCCTTGTCCGCTGCAGCGCTGCAACCAATCGGCGGATTCTTGGCAGCCAGTAAGAGGTTCAACAGTGTGGAAAGAGTATCTCCATGTGAGAACTGTTTGTTTGCCTTTGTGCCTCCCAAAAGCAACAAGCCAAAAGGGGATTCCAGTGTTTTGGGTACAACTGAGAAGTTCACCTCACGTTAGCTGAACTTCTCAGGATTTTGCCAGCATTGGCTTTTGAAGGCATGCTCTTTGCGGGCCTGTGTGAACCATCCCAATGTTGGGAAGATGCTGGAAGTGCACAGGGGCATCGCTCGTGTGGTTCTGATGTGCCAGCATGTTGCCGTTGCCCAAGGTGCCTTGCAACTTCACCGGCACTCTGCCCAACACCTTCTCTTGGGATGCCATCACTTGTAATGATGACCTCTCGCAGATAGAAGCCCAAGGCGTGCAAGAGTCCAACTTGGCATGGTAACCATGAATGTGTCATTTTCCAAAAATGATGTCCACTACCGCAATACTGAGCCACTATGAATAGGGCACGGGAACGATTATTTAGCCAAACTGCCCAGTTGTTTGGAGGTAGTGGTTCTGGGGTGGAACCCTCTTAGAATTTCAGGCTGTATTCCGTCCTTCAGGGTTGCTCCCAGCTTCAGAAAGATGATCAAACCACAAGGGTGCAAAAACAACATTCGGTTTTGTAGCTACACTTTGAGTTGCTGTATGGCCCAGTTGCCCTGTGGCGCCCTTTTTTTCCTTTTCTGGGGAAGGGTTCCTCTTTAACCTCAAGCAACAAAAGGATGCCCTTTTCCCATGGCCACTGGGCATCTGAAATAACACCACAGCGCGCTTTGGGTTGTTCAACATTTGGGTTGGGGGAAAAAAGAAAACAACAAAAACAAAAACAAGCCAGTGCCAGAGGCTTGGGCCATGACCTCTACTGGCCCCCCAGCGTTCCATCCCGGAACTTCAGCGTGGCCAGCGTGGTGGGGCCTAAGGGCCTTCGCCCTGGCTGCAGTGGGCGGTTGACGCAGATGGGCCTCCAAGGCGTTTCGGGGTGGGGTTGGGGCGTGGGGGTTGCGGGGTTGGGGCGTGGGGGAGGTTTTGGGCTCCCAGGCCTTGTTTGGAGCAAGATGAGGAGTGGGAGGGTGGGGGTGGATCCTATGGGTCCCGGTCCAATGGCTGTGGGCTGATTCGACCTCTTGCATGGGGTTTGTTAAGCTTCCTGTAGAACATTCCGTTGTGGCATTGATAGAGTTTTGCAAACAGCTTGCATGAATGGAAGAGGCGTCCAACGTTCAACAGGCCACCCTGGACAGGCCCATGGTTAATGGCCATGGGGCCATGGGGTTTTAGGCCCACGTTCTGTGCTACCAAGGAAGCTCCTTTGACATGACGAAGAGGTCGTAAGGATGGCCCATACCGGTCCGGTATCACAGGATGGGATATTTGCACAACCATCAGGGAATTCCGCGGGTGAGGCTGGGCAGCGGCTCATGAGCATTCTTATTTGTTTGTTTTGGGGCCTTTTGAAAGCGGGGTGGTTCGAAGGCCAGTTGTGTCGTTTTCCTTTGAGACGCCTTGTGACCTCTTCTTCCGTGGCTTCAGGTGCGCCAGTCAGCTCAGACCCATGGAGCGGCTGGATGACGGCCTACTACGGGGGCCGCGACGTGTCGCAGCACCGGAACATCGTGTGGAGCAACGGGGCCCTGGATCCCTGGTCCGGGCAGGGGGTGTACCCCCCAGACGGTGGCCCGGAGGGGCCCATGGTGCAGAACATCAGCGAGGCAGGAAGTTGGGATGGGATTTTTTTGGATGGATTCCCAGAAAACGGTTGGAGCTCGCTGACGAAAGCGCGCCACACATGTGTTCTTGTTTGTAGTATTTGAGCCAGAGGAATCTTCGGAGCGCTCTGAAGATGCTTGGGCATCGCGTCGATTGTCCCGAAATGTTGAACAAACACGGCCCAGCAATAGCCCTTTGCAGAAAGCCCCGGCCACGCCAACGCCATTTAGGGAAAATGCAGTGGCTTCTGCTTTGGTGTTTCTGTGTCTGGCTATGTCTGGCAGTTTACTCGTAGCAATATAGAGACCTTCAATTGAGGTGAAAGCTCGTAGGATAAAATACCTCACCAGGGTCACTTGCGCGAACCACAACCGACCGCATACGTCATCCGAGCTTTCCTGAGCCAACCTGACACTAGCCCCTGAAAGACCTCGTTGTCACGCTCAAGATGCTTACAGCACGCCCTACGGAGGCTTCGGGTAAACAACCGAACGGGAACCCTCAAGGCGACAACCCCGCCAGGACTATGCGATGGTTGGCAAATAGCCCCAAAACAGCCATTGGGAGGTCATTCCACAGACCATTTGCCAGCCATTGCGGGGTCCTGGCGTGGCGAATTTTTGTTTTTGTTTTTCTCCTGAGGATGGCTCGCAGATCGCCCTGGTCTTGGACCTGGGGGCGCACCACCTGGATCTCATGTTCTCGGATCCTCGGGACCCTCCCTGCGCCAAAGCCGCGCGCCAGATCGAGGCGCAAAGAATACGCAGCTGGTGCCAGGAGGCCTATGACAGGCACCGATTCACATTGCTGAAACCCCTCTCTTGTTTATTGTGGGGCCAGAGTCTTGTTGTTTAAACTCATTTTGCCCAACCCTGACAGGCAGCAAAGTGCGCCGCTTGCGGCGCGTGAAGGCTTTACCATCTCCATTTGAGACACGCAGGGAAAAGGTCGGAGTGCCGTGTGGCCACGCCTTACTTGGATTCTCAAATTATGCGCTATACGTTTTGCGGCAAAGATGAAGACAAACCAGAGGATAAGCAAGGGCAGCTGCCACGGTAGCATCCAAAAGGCGGAGCGGCACACACGCACACGCACACAGACACAAGCAGTTGGTTGAATTGAATTGCATGCGTTCTGTCGACCTCACCTCCAAGTTCAAGCTCGCTTGGTTACCTTTGATCTATCAGCGAGTAGTCACTGGGCAGGATCATCACCATGCGACTTTGCTACAGTTTGAGGAGTTTCCAAATGCAGGGCCAGCGTTCCCAATGCTTCCAGCTGCCATCATAGAAAACATACAGGGGGATCATTTGTAAAACCTCGCGATGAGACTACCTGGTTACCTTCTATAGTGGTAGCAATAATGATTGGGTTTAGGTTGACGCCTCAGCAGGATTTGTTGGAAGGGCTTCGGTGCACTTGGCTCATGCCACGTGGCTGGGAGGCGTTGCTGGCAGAGAGCAAGCTCGAATCCCCAAGAAGAAGGCTGGGTGCTGTGAGTGAGTGAGTAAGCGAGCGAGCGAGCGAGCGGGGGGGTGAGTGAGTGAGCGAGTGAGCCGGGGGGGTGAGTGAGTGAGTGAGTGAGTGAGTGAGTGAGTGAGTGAGTGAGTGAGTGAGTGAGTGAGTGAGTGAGTGAGTGAGTGAGTGAGTGAGTGAGTGAGTGAGTGAGTGAGTGAGTGAGTGAGTGAGTGTGTGTGTGTGTGAGTGTGTGAGGGTGTGAGGGCGCGAGGTGTGAGGTGTGAGGTGCGAGGTGTGAGCTGTGAGCTGTGAGCTGTGAGCTGTGAGCTGTGAGCTGTGAGCTGTGAGCTGTGAGGTGCGAGGTGCGAGGTGCGAGGTGTGAGGTGAGAGGTGAGAGGTGAGAGGTGAGAGGTGAGGTGAGTGAGTGAGGTGAGTGAGTGAGCGAGCGCGGGTGGGTGAGCGAGTGAGTGAGAGAGAGAGAGAGTCAACTCACTCCCTAAGCTCCTGGAGTTCACACCTTTTGGGAAGACCATGTTAGGGGCAAACAAAAGGTTGCCCCCGAGTGAGTCAAAGGAAGCCAACCAGGCCCAGCGACGGCTTCTCGAGCGCGAGCCGAGCCTCTCAGCAGGCTCCAGAGGGCCCACGCAGTGCGTTCAGTTGGCGTCCACTGCGACGTTTGCTTGTGCCATAGGATTGAGGTTCCTGAAATGGGCCGTTTTATTGGTTTCCCAGAAAAGCCCAAAGAGGATCCAAAAGGGTAGCTCGAAAACAGATCACGTCCACTTTAGCACGATGTGCAAAGACGTTCACACCAAACTTGAGGAGTGCCAGGGGTGCCTTTTTTCACGCAAACACTGTAATTACCGCTGACTTGAAGGTGCGTCGCAAACCTTAAAGGCTCAGAGCACCTTGCCTGGGACTAGGGATTGCATTCACCATTTGAGCAACGGTCAATATTTGCCGTCACCTCCTGTAGTAAAGATGACATTGGGTACATTAAATGGCACTAGGAATCAAGAAATGAGGGCTACTCACCAAATTCTCATGTGAAAGGGGACGCAATGAATTGTGAGCGTAGCTCATTCTGTACCTGCCCGAGGTGCCATGTTGGAGCACAAAGTCTTTCCGCAGCGATTCTCATTTGTGGGGGGGAGACATAATATATTTGTTGCGCCCTCATTTAACAGGACAACTAAAAGGAAAGCCGACTCCTGTTTCAGGCAGGGTTCCCGTATTTGGAGAAACCGGCCGGGCAGGCCGGATCGCTGCCGGATCCCTTGCCGGGCCCTGGTCAGCGCTTCCCTCGGTGACAGATGTCTCAAGCCAGGCCCCTTACGTCGGCAAACCACCCGCACAACAACTGACCCCCTCCCTGGCGGTGTTTTGGTTGGTTGGGTTTTCACGACCTCCACGACTTCTCGAGCCAAGGGAGGGGAGTGTGCTCAGAGAACACCTTGAAAAGAAGAAGTGCGTAAATGAAGGGCTGGGCTGAGTCCCTGAAAAGCGTCGCAAAAGGTGATAACAAGGGTCAGAAAATGTGGTTTCTCGAGTAGCCTTGAGAAAGCAACATTGAGGGGGGAGAGTCCCAGTTTGAACACACAACATGATGACATTTGTACCTGTACAGGGACTCCATCCAAAGCATGATTCATCCAAAATCCAGTATCAAGACCCCCTCCGTGGATGACCTGTTTTGTTTCCAAAACATAATCCACGCCAGGCCCATTAGTGCGGGGGGTATGACAAACCATCGGACTGCCCTCCCCATTTCGTCGCAGGTGTGGACGAGGGTCAGCCTTCCATACTCCGATGCCCTCCTCCTTTTTCACGCCGCGGAGCGCGCCTCAGTGTGCCACGCCGTTTCGGCAAGAGATGCGCATCCTAGCCGCTCGGGTCCAAGTTAGTAAGCTGTTGGGAGGTTAGGTTACAAGCCGATTCTGAGCCCCCCGAAGTGGAATTAGCCCTTGTGGCCAACCACTTGCTAGCTCGGACGAGCATCCAAGTAGGATCATTCAGCTGGCTGGCGGCCGCTCCCTCACGCTCAGTCAATTTGGATTCCCAAACCAGGCCCATCCTTCCCTCTACGACATTGGACATTGGTATGTGTCAAAATTGGGGGACCCCCAATCTGCTTGGTTTTATGTTGGTTTCTCTTTGAACCAGCCTGAGCGGTAGCATTAAACACATACTTAGACTCCCGCAAAACAGAGGGCCAATCAAAGTCAGGAGCGAAATCTCCAGTATTGATATACTAAGCGGCATCGAGTGGAGCCGAGTCCCGCTGGCATCCCAGTTCCCTTCCCATTGGGAATCGTAGCTTTGTTGCACTCGGTAGGTTGCAGATGCCGTTTGCCTCTTCTGCAAGCGGATTGTTCCGGGGTCAAACTGGAACTCAGCACACACACACACAACCGCACCGCGCCACACACACACACACCCACACACGCCC